GTTTCACTTACTTTTCATGCCATAAAATGTCACCATGATCATAGAACTTTAATTTATTTTGTCGTGGTCCAAACTTTCTACTTAGTATCACTATTTTCACATAACTTTAATTTGTTTTTTCATGACCATCAAACTTTATAGGGTTACATTGAACGTTTTGATGATGGGTTTCAAAGTCTTTAATTTCTAGCACTCAGACGTCCCAAAGCTTTCAAGATGTCATTTTTTGGTAATGGAAAACGTAAATTTGACCATTGAAAGGTCAAGTTTTGAGTAAAACTACTTTACCCTTAGTTGATTTAGAATAAAGAAAAAAATACAAAACAAAACAAATGAAAATAAAACGTAAAAGGACTGAAAAAGGAAATTTTTCGAAGTTCTATCAAGGTACTTTTTACTGTATTTTAAGTATATCTAAATTAAAATAAGACAAAGAAATTCAAGGTCAAATAATTATTTTTTGTTCAACTATGTAACATTATTAAAATTTTACACCTCAGATTCGAGAATAAATAACCTGTTCTTAATTGGTTTAGGCATATGAATGAATAAAAACTCCATTAATTCGGTGGATAATGGTAAACATTAAAATAGGTTAATAATTACTTATCGTGATAGCTATGTTAGGTGTTGTACCCAGCTAGGTTGTCGTCTCCCAATATATCTTTGACTGTTCACATTTTCTTAATAAATGGGGAGACACTAATGTATAATGCTTTCTCCTAATATGTCTTCGACAATTCATCTTTTCTTAGCAAATGGAATGAAACAAATGTATAAAGTGCTCATGTTTAGAAAATGTGCGGACGTCTTCCCATTTTGCTAATATAAATGATGTATCGTGTCAAAAATATATTGGGCGACAATCAAGGTAATGGCATACATGAAGATGGTCCAAACTTTCTACTTAGTATCACTATTTTCACATAACTTTAATTTGTTTTTTCATGACCATCAAACTTTATAGGGTTACATTGAACGTTTTGATGATGGGTTTCAAAGTCTTTAATTTCTAGCACTCATACGTCCCAAAACTTTCAAGATGTCATTTTTTTGTAATGGAAAACGTAAATTTGACCATTGAAAGGTCGAGTTTTGAGTAAAACTACTTTACCCTTAGTTGATTTAGAATAAAGAAAAAAATACAAAACAAAACAAATGAAAATAAAACGTAAAAGGACTGAAAAAGGAAATTTTTCGAAGTTCTATCAAGGTACTTTTTACTGTATTTTAAGCATATCTAAATTAAAATAAGACAAAGAAATTCAAGGTCAAATAATTACTTTTTGTTCAACTATGTAACATTATTAAACGATTGAAATGGCATCACAAACATTTAGATTAACATTATTTTATTATTTCAAAAATTTGATGGTGTAATTTATAAATGAGAAGAAAATTTTCATAATTTTTAGACATTATTGTCTAAGAGACTTGGATAAATATTCATTACTTCTTCAAATAAATTAAAATTTTACCCCTCAGATTCGAGAATAAATAACCTGTTCTTAATTCGTTTAGGCATATAAATGAATAAAAACTCCATTAATTCGGTGGATAATGGTAAAAATTAAAATAGGTTAATAATTACTTATCGTGATATCTATGTTAGGTGTTGACCCAGCTAGGTTGTCGTCTCCCAATATATCTTTGACAGTTCACATTTTCTTAATAAATGGAGAGACAGTAATGTATAATGCTTTCTCCTAATATGGTCTTCCACAATTCATCTTTTCTTAGCAAATAGAAAGACACAAAATGTATAGAGTGCTGATGTTTAGAAAATGTGTAGACGTCTTCCCATTTTGCTAATATAAATGATGTATCGTGTCAAAAATATATTGGGCGACAATCAAGGTAATGGCATACATGAAGTCGTAGTGAAAATGCACATTCCCTGTATGTATGAATTGCCATGCACAAATTTCTTTAGAACCCTTATTCTATCTCAGAAAGATTACTCTGTGTGTGGATATACAGACATGAGCTGTAAGCCTAAAAAGACTGGCAAACGACTCATTCAAAAGCTCGTAGGGACCATGGTTACGCACAACAAAACAAAAATGAAGAAAATTGTACAGAGGTAACTGAGAGATTCAAACAGAAAGAAAAATTGCATTGTCAGAAAGTAGTATGAAAGGCGGAACAAAATCAAGAGCACTATGAATGTTTGGCTTTGTTTATCAAAAGTATATAATAAGTCAAAGGTGGTTTAGATTGTGCTTAGTGTTTGCCTAATGTGGCTGTTGAAATTTAGCGCAATTATTGCATATTTAAACGTTTACTTGTAAATAAAGTTGACGCAGATTAATCTTTGTAGGCCATCCCACAGATTTTCTCTCTTATGCTTCACAGTCTAATCTGATGTCTTTTGTAGGAAACCATAAGTATGGGTGATGCCTTTTCTGCAGGTGCCTTTCGATGACTCTTTTGTGTTTAGACCAATATTTTAAATCTTAGGCTGTGTATTAGATCAAGATCTTTGGAACTACGAAGGTAATTAAGCAAGAAATTAGGCTATTAAATATTTTTATTTTAATTTACCCCTCTTAGAAGAAAAGAAATTAAAAGATCTAACAACATTCCAATAGGAAAAATAATAGTACTGTTATTATAAAAATATACTTTACATATATATAGACATAGTCTTGTGTACTTAATAACTTTATAAGCATTGACAACAATAGTACTAGCAAGTTTGTCGATTTTTTTCCTAAATATACCAGATGAATTCATTTATTACATTTAATAATCAATTCAAAAATTCGATCAATAAAACATATGTATGTACACGCCTATGTGTGTACATATTACATGTACATGGTACACATATTTGACGTTGAATGGTGAAATCTTATCTGAATTCTAAGAAGTTAGATTACTCCTTTCAAATATAATGAAATCTTATCTGAATTCCAAGAAGTTAGATTACTCTTTTCAAATATAAATAAAGAAGTGGAAGAAATCCGACTATTTGCAACTTTTATACTGTTGGAAAAGGGCTTTTATTAATTTTAATTGATAGCTTTTTCCAAGAGTCATTACTTGTCGGCTTCCATAATTGATTAATGATTGATGACTGGAAGTGAATTATCAAGGGACCAAGTAAATATGAGCCGCCCTCGGTCGAGACTTCAAGGTTTTGGCCCAGCCCCTTGCCTCTCAAGTAACTAAAATACATAAACTTATGACTTATAAATAGCAGCACAAAGTCTATCTAGATTTTCTTATAACATTAAAAAAAAAAAGAAAAAGAAACCCCATGTTTTAAACTGTGTAAATCGAGGTGCACGACCTTTGTGTACATGTGCAAACGATCAAGGCTGATGTTAAAAAATGGTGGATGATGTCCAGAAGGATATTTATTTAATTAAAAGCAATAATTAGAATAAATGTGGGTACAAGAAAACTACTTAATATAAAATTTAAAATAATGTCATAGTTGTCCTACGTGACATACATATAGCTGTTAGTGATTTGATGCATTAATGTAGCGTTATGTGAGTTTCAATTAAGGTTTATTATAAAATTTATGAGAGTTTTAATTAAAATTTATTATTATTTTAGTGTATTATAGAATGAACTCATGGTTCGATGTATTAAGTTGTAATATTAATTAAGCTAAATATTTATGATGTATTCTTGTAAATAAATAGGATGAATTAATCTCAACCAACCTTTAATTAATTCAAAAAAGCAAAGAAATTTGTTTATTTATTTTTTCAACGTATGCATTTCGTACCTCTAACATGTAATCCTTAAGCCTTATATATACTCATTTACCAAATATGATAAACTTCTTCAAAATCAAGAGTGCCCTTTTTTTTTTTTTTTTTTTTTTAAGAAGCTACGTGTCCTAATTGTCACATATGATTTTTCTAATAAACTTCGGCAATGTAAAAATTTAGAAATTATGGTTGTCAAACGTAATCAATGACAACAACAACCTAAAATGTTTCAAAGTTCTATGTCAACACGGCTTGAAGGAATTGAGCACTAGCCCCAGTGCATTAATCAGTCAAGTTTATTCTATACAAATATTCCTTAACCAAGAAAAAATGATCTACCTGAAGATGAGTAATATGAAAAAGAAAGTTGTCCCATCAAAATGAAAGACCCATTTAATCTAAAGACAAGTCCTCTTTTTGCTTCCAAGAGATCAAGCACTGAGACTCTACGAGCACTTACAGTTACGAGTTATGAATTTAGAGAGAAGGGTCACCAATTTTTATCCGAAACAACCGATGCCGGCAATATTTTGCATATATCAATGGAAAAATAAATAATTAGTCGAACTTATAATCTAGTTCCGAGAACGTCTACTTGCTTTTTAAGTATCTAATTAGACGCATGATTACACGAAGCGTGACTTGAACACATAAATTTTAGTCCCTGTCTTGATTTTTTTTCCCTTTGTAAACTTATTGTTTTGAAGGTTGGATCCTTAAACTCAACAAATTTTTTCTTTTATTTATTTATTTTTTAGACCAAAAAAAAAAAACCCCCCTCAAAGAACCATTGATTTGTAATATCATTATTAATTAATTTCATTATTTATTAGATAGACATTATCATCAAAGTACTAATCATGCTATTATAGTGAGTCAATAACCCCGTTTGGCCCCCATTAAATTTCATTACATTACATTCCATTTTTCTCTTTTCTATTTTCAATCACACAATCTTTCATAAAATAATATTACAGGTAAATCGAAAAATTTTCTTTCTTTTTCAACCACTTATTTTTTCAAAAAATACTATTCCACCCATTTTTATTTCTAGAAAATGGGTGCCAAAATATATATGTAGTAGACATGTACTAAGAGAACTTACAATCTAACATTATCCTTGTTTGTTAGTTGGAGAGAGTAAAGCAAAATAATGGATTAATATATAATTTAGATTCTGGAATGAGAAAGACAAATGAGAAAACACTTGGTCTACTATTCTGTCATTCAAATTGCTCCATTAATTTATTCATAAAGTCTCAACCTTTTCCACTAATTCCATCCAATTTCCAAGTTTCTTCTTCTCCAGCTATTATAGTCTCTCACTCTCTCTTTCTCCCCTGTATTATATATATCATACTGTCATTTGCATGTGATATCAAGAAAAACCAACACCAACTTCAAAACCACAAACATCACATTTCATACCACCAACCCCACCCCCAACTTCAGTAGACATGGGGAGAGCTCCCTGCTGTGAGAAAGCCAACGTGAAGAAAGGCCCATGGTCGCCGGAAGAAGACGCAAAACTTAAGGCCTATATTGAGAAGCGTGGTACGGGTGGAAACTGGATTGCCTTACCACAAAAAATAGGTACAAACTTTGGCCTTTTCTGGTCTCCATGATCTTAATCGAAAGCTTAAAATGTTTAATTTTTTATGCCAGGTCTGAAGAGATGTGGGAAGAGTTGTAGGCTTAGATGGTTGAATTATCTCAGGCCAAACCTCAGGCATGGAGGGTTTACTGAGGAAGAAGATAATCTAATTTGCAGCCTTTATATAAGCATTGGAAGCAGGTAATTCACTGTAGGGTTACATTTCTTCTTCAACTTCCATTAATTTGTGTGCCAAAGGAGGGATTGTTAATATAATTCATTTTGTGACTGAATAGATGGTCGATTATAGCGGCACAATTACCTGGAAGAACAGATAATGACATAAAAAACTATTGGAATACAAGGCTGCAGAAGAAGCTTCTAGGCAAGCAACGTAAAGATCAACAGGCCCGCAGAGGGATCAGCCCTAAGCAAGAAATGAAGAAAGGATATGAGAATTTCTCAGCTAATGAGTGCTTCAGTTTATACCCTTTTCCACCACAATCAGTGGTGTCGCCGCCATTTTCAGTGGCCTATGGAACGCAAACATCTACTCACATCGAAGACCAGGAATCCTTCACTGGTAATTTGATTGTACAGTTTGGAGAAAGGTTTTCTTATGATCATCAGCAACAAAACAACACTGGATTAATCAACACCTCTACTCTACACTCTTCCGAAAATACTTTTTCGGCGTGCACAAGTTTGATAAATAGCACATGCCCACCATTGATGAGTGATTACTTTGCCATCAATGGTGTTGCTTTAGACCATTTTCAAGGAACTAATAGTTTCCCGGGAGAGCTTGACGAGGTCGTCATCAATGGCAACATTAATCCACTACAATTGCATGGACTGGATAATTTCTCTACATTAATGGACATGGTTACCAGCAACAGTACTTCTCAAGAGAATTGTAGCTGGGGAGATATAAGTTTTCTTGACTCTTCTTCTATCTCCAGTTATGAATTTTGTGAACAAAACTTCTGCGCATTTGATGATCAGCCAAGGCTTATAGGTTTACTATAATCGCACTATTTTTGCATCCGTAATGTTAACTTTTAATTAGCAGCAGGAAAGTCAGTGTCAGTATTCCTGCAGGTGTATTGATCATGGAATTGAACTATCACTTTCATCTACTGAGATTCTTACCAGTTTAATACGAGCCTTATTTTCTTCGAATTTCTTTTTAAGACATTTTTTGGTATAAAACTCATAGTTGCTGCTGAAACTGGGAATATTAGGAGAAGGAAAATTGATTTGCTGCAGTATTCATGGTCTACTTTTCTGTGCCTTAAGAGTTTGATCTGTATTAATAAAGTTGTTTTGGCCGCAACTTGTTAGGCATTAGCAAGTAGGCATCCAGGGCTGGCGGCATCTTCCTATTGTTATCTTCTTGACTTCAGAAAGTACAGTAACAGCATCACAAATTGCTCCATCCAATCCTGTTCTCATAAGAGCAGACAAAACTTGAATATACGAGATGGACACTACACACAATTTCCTGCATCAGATAATGATATGCTAGTCGTTAGGGATAATTTCTGTTTAGTCTATTTGAAGGCACCGCATTCACTAGTCGTCTACATTGAACTTGACAAAATTAATATTACAAACAAATTGTGACAGTGATTTCAATTGACACTAATAGTCCTATGATTCGAAACTTCAAAAGAAATTTCAAAAGAAGAGAACAGCAAAAGAAAATCTTGACTGGTTCAAAATCTTGCTGAGTCAACCGCCCGTTTGGCCCATTAATTTTCATTCCATTACATTCCATTACATTTCATTTTTTTTCTCTTCTATTTTCAACCACACAATCTTATATAAAATAATATTATATGTAAATCGAAAGTTTTTCTTTCTTTTTCAACCACTCATTTCTCAAAAAAATATTATTCCACCCATTAATTTTTTCACAAAATGGGGTCCAAACAGGTGAAAAATCTTAAGCCATAAAGTAACAAGTTCCTGAAATCTCAACGTTGTTGTGTAGTGATTATGATAATCGTCAAAGTGATTATAAAGTTGAGCACTTCAAAAATTAGAATTGTTGCAGAAGCTTGCTCCAAGTATTGTCAAAACGGTGTTTTTCAGGCTCAATTTGATATTATCTTTCTCCACCAAACAACCAATACAGTCGACTCCAATCCACAACCAATATATTCATCTCGGTTGCTTTTCAATCTTAACCACAAAGGAGAAGATAACAGCGATGATTTATAACCTCAAAAGCAAGGAAAAATACAATGAAGAATGGATACAAAAGGAGGCCGAATTCTCAAAGAAGTCCACCGATTTTTGGACAACTATGGCAGCCGATTTTTCACAAAGAAGGGGCCATGTTTTTCTCCGATGTTTATCCACAAATCACATACACAAAATGGCTAGGGTAAAACATATATAAGTAGGGTTAAGTTAGGGTTTTAGTTGGATCAATAACAAAGCTAAATGGGCTAAGATTCAAAGTCATCCAATATATAATATAAATGGGTTGGACAAAGCCTTTTGACTTGGATGTTGATAATTATTATACTCATTGACTGAGGCTTATGAAATATATTCTCACGTTAATATCATAGCCCGAAATTTATTGGGTATCAAAACCTAACAAATCTCCACGTTAATGTCCAATAAATCTGCAAGCAATTAAAACACAGTTATTACTTGCATAATCAAGGTAGCCAATAAAATTGATATCACGAAACTTACCTCGTGTTTTGGACCCGAATAAATACCATATCTGCTCTATGTACTTACAAAAAATGCTCATGTAGAAGAAGATAATCACAATGAACAATCAAGAGAAAATAATTATGCGATGAAGATATTCTATAGGATAACACATTGTTGGGTTTTTTATACCCAATAATCCAAGCGATGATTTAAAATAGTTGTCGGATTGTTTATCGACACCATGGACTTAGCTCGGCTTGGAGACGAACTACACTTTTGGATGGCTCGGGTTTGGGTTGGATGATTATTTGGTTAGTTGGACCATTTAGTGATTAATATGAAGTTGAATATTGACCCATTAGTTTAGGTTAATTGATAGCCCTCTTAGTGAACTTAGGCCTAATTGGAGTGACCTAAACTAACCTATATATATGTATTTATCTCCCAGTCGTTTTTTGGTGGTGTGTGTATGTTGTAGCAATGGAGAGGAGAGTTGAGAGAAAAGAGGCAGCCGAGAGAGAGGGAAACCATGTGAGGTTGTGAGTGAGATTCAACCATTGTGATATCTTCTTCTTCCTCTCCATACCTTTGTGGATTGCTAACACCACCACCCTTCTCCTTTGTGGGGTTTGAGAGAGTTTGGGCAGTCCAAAGTATAAGGCGAAAGTCTCGGGTCGAGCCAAGGTAAATCGGTGTTCGTTTGATTATTTTCTGAGCCCAAAACCAAGATTTATCGAGGGATTTTCACTACAAATGGTATAAGAGCTTGTGTTGTTGATAAATCTATGATTTTTGGGGGTTAAAAATAGGCTGGAAGTGGTCAGAAACGGGTCTGAAAATCAAAGGCAGAAACTGTTCGATTTTTTCAATTTTCTGCCGGATCTGTTTTGGCATTTTCTGGTGAAACCAAAAGGAGTTTGACAAAACGGACACCACCGGTGGACTGTGCAGACAGAGAAGAAGCCGGAAGGGTGACAATTCATAGGCGCATGGGAATTTCGACGTAGCCCGTGAATCTGAATCTGGCGATGATGTCTTCGGACAAAATGTTGTTGGAGATGAGACGGACCCTGCGGTGTTGTCAAATTTCAGTTTGGAGCAATACAGTGAAAGTTGGACAATTTTGCCCTTGGACGTTCGTGTGCCGGCTGCTGTTTTCGTGTTGCTATGGTTGCTGGTGATTTTAAGATGAATAGTGATAGTCCTGGAGAGGTAAATTTGCATCTCTCGATATTTACAAACCTTCAGACGTGGTCCGCTCGGTATCGTATTTTTTGCTTTTTATTATTGCAGTTGAAATAAATGTGTAGAGTAATTTATTTTTTGCATTAGAGGTCATCGTGTGGGGTGACATTAGGTTTGGGGTTATCATGAAGGGGTAATCATTGCCTGTTGCTAGATTTAGGAGTTATTTGTCAATTATTTGCTTTAAATTTTTTGTGAATTTGCTATCAATTTTTTTACATTATTAGAATTGCATGTGGCCTTAGGAAAGTTTATTGGACTATTCTATGTGAATTATGTTCATACTTTACTTGTGGTCATTATTTGGCATTGGTGGCAAATGTAGGTCTAAGGTAAGTGCGAAAAATAACATATATTTTAATTGTAGTAAAATTTGGACATAGTTGAAAGAGATTGTCATAGGATGATAATAAAATGAAAGATGAGGATAGAGACAAGGCGAATGTGACTTTAGGGTCGAGTAGTGATCCTAGTGAGGTTTATTGAGAGAATAAATCTGGTTCTTGCATTGCATCTGTGTGTAATTCTTTCTGCATGTATATGATCACTTAATTATATTGCAATGTTGAAGTTACACTTTCAATATGTCTGTTGTGTGTAATTTCATGAATTAGAGTGACTTATTACTTTGTGTAATATGTTTACATGCATAGTGGGTTAAGTTTTGTGGTGTACTCTATTTGCTCTGTGAGTGGTGTGAAAGTGTGGTAGTGAGAAGAAAGTTGGGCAGCCATTTCTCTTCTTTGTCTTTGTGAGTCTATGTGGTTTTGTGAGATTATGTGAGGCAGCCATGTTAGGGTTATATTCTTCCTCTTTGTGAGCCTCCTTTGTGAGTGTTGTGAAGTAATCGACTCTTTCCTCGATTTTTCTTTGTGAGTGCCACCTTCGCCATTTTCTTTGTGGATTTTTTGGAGCTTTGGTGATTGGAGTGACTTTTGTGGTCACCGAATGATGTTGTTTTGCCATAGTGAGTTTGAGATATATTAGCAGTGAGTTAGATGTCTTTTGGTAAGGTGGAATATAGATACCTAGAGGTGCATTGGTGATATGCACGAAGGATGTAAAGTGTGGCATTTGGATCACGAGTGGAGATGTATCAAATGTGTAGAATCCTTTATCTATGAAAGAGACCCTGTACAGGTGGAGTGTGAGAGATGCACTTCTATCACTTTTGTAAGGCGGAGTCCCATTATCCACGTAGGTTGGGAGAAGTGATGTGGTGATAGAGGATTATCCCGAGAGCTTAGGATCTATTGTGACTTGCCAGTTAGACATGAGTTAAGTGATTGGTTTAGTGAGCATGGTGAGCGATGAGAAAAGATATGTGTTCTCGAGATGGGAGTAACACAGAATGGGATAGGATAAGTGTGGTGAGATTTTTCATGGGGTCATTTATGCATTTGTTGCATATGTGCATGACCGTGTGTTGATTAACTACGTTTTAATCTGTGGTTCAGTGTGAACATGATTTTGAAAAGATCTCCGTGTGTGTTATCCTATATATATCTTCATCGCATGATTGTTTGTTCACTATGAATACTTGTTTCTACTTGGGTGTTCTTGACCTTAGCCCTGGTGAATACATGGAGCAAGTATGGTATGTATTTCGGTTCGAAACACGATGTAAGGTCTGTGGTTCCAATTTTATTGGATTACCTTGATTGTGCAAGTATAAACTGTGTGTTTTGGTTGCTTGCAGATTATTGGGCATCAAGGTGGAGATTGTTGGGTATTTGATACCCAATAATCCAGGCGATGATTTAAAACATTTGTCGGATTATTTATCGACGCCATGGACTTGGCTCGGCTCAGAGATGAACTACACTTTTGGATGGCTCGGGTTTGGGTTGGATGATTATTTGGTTAGTTGGACCATTTAGTAATTAATATGGAGTTGAATATTGGCCCATTAGTTTACGTTAAATGGTAGCCCTCTTAGTGAACCTAGGCCCAATTGGAGTGACCTAAACTAACATATATATATGTATTTATCTCCCAGCCATTTTTGGTGGTGTGTGTGTGTGTGTGTTGTAGCAATGGAGAGGAGAATTGAGAGAAGAGAGGCAGCCGAGAGATTGGGAAGTCATGTGAGGTTGTGAGTGAGATTCAAAAATTGTGATATCTTCTTCTTTCTTTCCATACCTTTGTGGATTGCTAACACCACCACCCTTCTCCTTTGTGGGGTTTGAGAGAGTTTAGGCAGTCCAAAGTGTAAGGCAAAAGTCTCGGATCG